GTAAGGATATTGTTGATATGTTGTGAGATTGTTAACCATTGTCATAGGGCAACATTTGTAGTAACTGTTAAATGAGAAACTATTTTGTTGTGTAAGCCTTCATCTTAAGTGAGAATAGCAGCACAATTGGAAGATCGTAGTCAGTGTCACTGAACTGTGTATGTAGAAATTTTTGAAACGGTGTATCTTTGGCTTTGTGTATTTTCACCAAAAAAAAAAAAGGTTGAGAATTTAGAGGGTTAATATGTTGTGAGGTTGTTAACCAATGTCATAAAACAACATGTGTACTACTGTTAAAATAAGATAAAATAAAATCACTAATCAATGTTAACTGAAATAATATTTTCGTGAAAAATCAAATTATTTTTCAAAATAAATTGTAGGGTGGCATTGATTTACTTTTTGCAATTCTCTTTAATGTCTGTCTTAACAGAATATAGCAGGATTCTCATTTCTGCCTCTGCATTCTATCTGTTGTGATATGTTATTTTGGTTGAAGTATACGAAGAAAATATGACCTCATACACATAAGCAGTGGGAAAAGGAGGGAGTATTTATTTAATAAGTTATTCAGATAATTGTGAGTATTCCTCATTAATGCTACATCAAAGATCAAGAAGTAGTAGCTTCTTAAAGGTCAGTTGCAATGTGGAATATAAAACCTTATCAATGAAGTTTTCATACACTGTTACATTAAAGCCATTGGTATATCTTACACTTTGAATGTATCTTTTACCCATGATGATTTGGTAATCTGGTGCAATGGTTATTTGAAAAACATTGGTTCTTTGAGTCATGCAGATCTTCCAAATATTGACACATTTTATTGTATAATAGTAAAACATCACATTCATTAATACCACCACTAATCTCATCAGCTAAGACTTTGCTAGGAAACTGCCAAGCTCACAGTGGTAGACAGAAGTTTTCCAACATTCTAATTTTTGCTTCAGAGCTCAAATTTTATCATTTGCAGTCAACACCGTTTGTTTTCCTTGAAGGAATAGGCTCACTTTGTGCTTTTTTAAAAAAATGTCTGCCGAATAGTCAAGTCTGAGTAATCAAGTCTGACAGTTGTCCTTTCAGGTAAAAATTGGTGTGACATGAAAAAGTTCAGCTCACAACTCAGTTGCACCAGTGTTTCCTCACAACAACCATCATGCTTTGGTATGCAGCAGAAGCACTTTATCTGTACTTCCCATTTCATCTCACAAAATAATAAAAATGATATTTACTCGAGTTGAGTTTAAATACAATCACTAATTTTTACTGCTTCATCAAGGATATTCTTAATAAAACTGTCTTTTTGTATATTTGTTTTTACTTTGACTGTGGAGTGATAAAGAATACAATGCCTATAAGCAGAGTTTGGTGCCACGATTTAATTCATCCACCACACATCTGTCAGTTTCTTGTACATACTGTGGTGGCTTACATGTTGCTATGATTCTGGAAGCTATGCCCCCAGTATTTCAAATACCAGCAAAGTAACCTTTGGTGGACAGGATTCAATGGAGCATCCAGAGTAAGACAGACTAGGAAGAAAGACCTGGCAATCTACTTCCAAAAATTAGCCAATGAAAATCCTATGGATCACAACAGAAGATCATCCAATATAGTGCTCAAAGATGAGCCTCTTAAGTTGGAAGGCATTCAAAATACACAGTGGCTGCAACAATCATCTTGGGCATACCAATGACTGTGAAGATGGTGCAGGACCTGGGAGTGGTTTGTTCTGTTGTACATGGGATCACCATGAGTCAGAAGTAACTCAAGGCAACTAACAACAACAACTTGATTCATACTAGAGTGCCAACAGGAAAAACTATGCTTGTATCATCAGTTCAAATGTCAGTACACTAAAAAAGGCAAAAAACATTTTGTATTACTGTAAAAAAAAATCTCACAGACTCCTTGAAAATGTCTCAGGGATCCCCAAAGATCCACAAACCTCATTTTGAGAGCACAACTTTAACCAAATCTCTCCTAAATAAACACACTCAATATGATCTCAAGGTTATTTTCAGGAGAACTTTTATAAAAATATTATTTGTTGTCAAATTCACTTAATAAGCATAAATATCGAAGATTTTTGAAGAATCACAAAGAAAAGGGTTTCTCAAAGATATCAGGCAATATTTTAATCACAGTTCTCCCATTCCAAGTGGCAAAGAGTATCACAACCCCAAACCAGGAAATGAAGAAAACATCTATTAAAAAAAAAAAAAAAATGCCATCGAGCCCACTCTGACTTATGGTGATCTATGTGTTTCAGAGCAGAACTGTCCTCCATCAAGTTTTCAATCGTTGCGATGTTTTGGAAGTAGATTGCCAGGCCTTTCTTCTAAGACATCTCAGAGTGGATTCAAACTGCCAACCTTTCAGTCAGTAGCTAAGCACTGAACTGTTTCACCACTCGAGGACTCCTAGAAACCCTCTGTAGACTATTACAACCTGTGATAGAGTCAAAAGCTCCCATTGATCCATGAAATGCCAAGGAGTAACTCATTGGAGATTTTGCTAGAAGAATGGGTTTTAGAGTGCCTCAACAAGAAAAGAATTACACAAAGAATTAGAGGCACAAAGCATTGTAAAATTTTAAGAACTTCAATATGCACATTCAGAGTTTCATTAACCATCAATCTGTTTCCTTTATAACTTCAGTTCTTCAAAGATAAGAGTCTCTGAACAATCAGAGACTGAGTTTCTCTCACAAAAAATTTGCCCCATATTCCTTCAGTTTGAAGTCCCTGGGTGGTGCAAACAGTTAGTGTACGTTTTCAAAAAATATTTTTTATCTTTTTGGTTAGATTGTATAATAACATTGGCAAGCATAGAACAGAAGAAAGTTTCTAGAAAAATGGCACAACCTAATTTGTAGAACGTTAGAGCAAAGATAAATATTAGTACTTATTTCCTTAAATATATTGGATGGTAAATAAGATAGTGTTTGTGCATAGATAGATTTACCCTCTGTAAATTAATAGGCTGACCCACCAAAATGAGTGCTATTTTGTTTTTCATGATCACTTCTTATAGTGGAATATTATTATATTACATAATTATTTTATTTTAAAAAGGAGAAAGGTATTTCAATATAGGTATAACCATGTGGAACATGAGAAGAAATGGACATAAAATAAAAGGGACAAAATTTTCACAAAGTATTTTTAATTTCATTGTTTTTTTTACAACAAATACCAAAAATTATTCTTTGTAAAACTACTTTTACATCTATAATAATGGAAAGTCTATCTGTATAATATAACTCTATGGAGGCAATTCTGATTAAACTTTTACTCCTGTTTTATATTTGATTCATCATTTAATTGTTTTTACACAAGAAGGAGGGTTATGTCCTGAAAGAAAATGGCAAAGAAGGGAACACACCTAGTATTTGTCATCCATGAAACAAAACTCGGGAACCCTAAAAGAACTTACCTGTTCAGTAATGCTGGTGATATCAGACCCCGCTATGGCTTGTCTAATCACATGGCCTTGGAAAACAGATTTAACTGAATTGATAAAAGTAGACTTTCCAGACCCAACTGGACCCAGCATGAGAATACGAATTTCTGGAATCAAGCATGTGCTGGGTTTGTAGGCTCTGAGTTCAGCCAGGAGGTGCTCTCTGTGCCTGTTGTAATAGTTAACAGCGGTAGTTAAATACGACAGCCTCCTCTTCATAAAGAGCAGCTAAATTCTCCTGGAGCTTCTTCTTCTCCCCTTTGTAGGGTATGCTTTAATTATTTGCATAACATTTTGACCTTAAGTTATTCATGAAATGATTTGAAGTGGTTCTACGATTATTCATTTTTGTGCTTTAAGAAATATACATTTATATATATATCTGACTCAAGGTAAACATTAAGCAGTAACCAAACCATTGTTAAACTATTAGCCTTGTTCCACATAAACCTATTGGGAAATACCAGCCACACTGAAGATGAATGATTATTTATGTTAATAATACTGTATTCAATTAAATCAAAATAAAATATGTACAAGTATGTATCCATAAACTGGGGAAAGGAGGCTTTGTTTTCAACATGTACTGACACTCCTTCAAAAGCTTTATTCTCGAGGAAAGGATTCAGAGGAATTATCTAAAATGGTCATACAGACTCTACCTGGAAAGCTTTGAAATTAACAGTCTAAAGTGAAACATAAAGTAAAATTTGTCAATTGTGACTCAAGTGGATTTTTAAAGTTTCACAGTTGTTAGTGTTTTGTTTGGTTATTTTGTGGTGGTAGTTGTCATTCTAAACTGCCTTGAACATTATAGTTCAGTAAAACGATAACTGATTTTTTTAATCATCCTAAATTATACGATATACATCATTTTTACTATTTCATTGTCAGCACCCTTTACACCATTAGTCTAAATAAATGAGGAATAAATGGTCCAATGACCAAACTTACTGTGTGACCCTTGTTACTCTCCTTACATAGCATGAGTCATCCTTAATTCCTATGGGAAAAAAGCACAGCATGGTAAATTTTTTAACTTGTCATTGATTAAATGTGGCCAAGTCTACCTCCTAAACAGGGCATTGAGTCTGCTTGTATAACCCAGGACTAAGCTGTTCAGTTAGGGGAGACAGCATAATGAGAAGAGGAGAGAAAGTAGACCTCTCTGCACATTAACTTGCTCTGGAAACACCCATATCACTGTGCCTAGAGGACGTAGGGCTGACCCAGAAGGGGGCAAATAAGACCTGCTCTGATGGTTAGGTCTCTCTCTCTCCTCTCTCTGTATTTCCACTCAGACTAGTCAAATTTATTTTGCTCAAAACTGGCTATACTTTCAAGGTAATAATCTCATAATCTCTACGCTCAGGTTTTAGTTTGGAGTTTAGGAAAGAGTATCTACTGGCAAGAAATTTGATTGTTCCTCTCATTTTCCCTTGTTCTTGTAAATCAATTAAAACCCACCAAACACAAAGATTGGAAACAGAATACAGGCTTACCTAATTTAACCTACCTTCAACCCGAAAGACTTCACATTCCAAATAGTGAAAACGCTTGGGAGTTGTAAATGCCTTATCTTCCAAACGATAAACAATAACAATTTGTTTTAATTCTGTATTTAAACAGAAAAGCGTATAATCACAGAAATAAAATGCCAGTCTATTAGCAGTAATTTCAGGTACTCTATTGAAAGGAAAAGTTGGTATTTCAATTGTGTTATCCTTCTTTTGTAATGAAAAACAAAAGGAAGAATCTAGGCTTTCAGATTTTTCCCCTATTTTAGGATAATGCCCAAGTATAAAGGCTCCAAAAATATTGTTCTTAGTATAAATCAGTGTTATAGTGGATCCTTGATAAGTGCACCTTTGAAGCATATTTTCAATGCTGTAGCCATGAACACTAGACTTATAAAGAAGAGTCAAGGAAGCGTGTCCAAGTAGTTTTTGCAGGCTCTTTTCCTCCTTCCATGTCAGTCTGGTTGTCACAGCCATTGTTCTGTAGAAAATGAGAAAAAAAAGCAATTACAGGTTAAGAGGCTAGTATAGTACACTGTTTGTTCTTTTTTTATTGTAGACAAAAATATAATACATTTGCCAACTCAACGTTTTTCACATGTACAATTTAGGGACACCAATTACATTAATCATGTCTTGCAACCATTACCAATATCTGTTGCCAAATTTTCTATTACCATAAACAGAAATTCAGTGCTTCTTAAATGATTCCTCCCTTTCTCCTCTCTCCTGCCCCTGCTAACCACTATAAACATTGATCCTATACATTTACCTACTCTAGATATTTCACATAAGTGAGATCATACAATATTTGCCATTGTGTGATTGACTTACTTCATTCAGCATAATGTTTTCAAGGTTCATCCATGTTGTGGCATGCATCAGTACTTTTCTCTTTATGGCTGAATAGTATTCCATTGTATGTATGTACCACATTTTGTTTATTTATTCATCTGTTGATGGGCATTTTGGTTGTTTCCACTTTTTGGCTACTGTGAATAGTGATGTAATGAACATTGGTGTACATGTGTCTGTGTCACTGATTTCAAGTCTCTTGAGTATATACCTAGGAGTGGGATTGCTGGGTCATATGGCAGTTGTATGTTTAATTTTTTGAGGAACCACCAAATGGTTTTCCACAGCAGCTACAACATTTTGTTTTCCCACCAGAAATGAATAAGGGATCCAATTTCTGTACACATTCACCAACATTTGTTGTTTTTCATTTTGTTGTTGTTGTTGTTAGGTACCATTGAGTCAGTTCCAATTCACAACAATCCTATGGACAACAGGAGGAAACACTGCCGGGTCTTGCGACATCCTCATCGTTGTTGTTGTGCTCGAGCCCATTGTTGCAGCCACTGTGTCAATCCATCTGGTTGAGGTTCTTCCTCCTTTTCACTGACCCTCTGCTGTACCAGGCATGATGTCCTTCTCCAGAGACTGGTCCCTCCTGATAATGTGTCCAAAGTATGTGAGACAAAGTCTTGCCATCCTTGCTTCTAAGTAGCATTTTGGCTGTACTTCTTCCAAGACAGATTTGTTCTTTCTTCTGGCAGTCCATGGTATATTCAATATTCTTCACCAACACCATAATTCAAAGGCATCAATTCTTCTTCAGTCTTCTTTATTCATTGTCCAGCTTTCATATGCATATGAGGCAAATGAAAACACCATGGCTTGGATCAGGCACACCTTAGTCCCTAAAGTGACATATTTGCTTTTTAACACTTTAAAGGGGTCTTTTGCAGTAGATTCGCCCAGTGCAATATGTAGTTGGATTTCTTGACTGCTGCTTCCATGGGCATTGATTGTGCATTCAAGTAAAATGAAATCCTTCACAATTTCAAACTTTTTTCTGTTTATCATGATGGTGCGTATCGGTCCAGTTGTAAGGATTTTGTTTTCTCTATGTTGAGGTGTAATCCATTGAAGGCTGTAGTCTTTGATCTTCATCAGTAAGTGCTTCAAGTCTTCTTCACTTTCAGCAAGCAAGGTGGTGTTATCTGCATATCTCAGGTAGTTAATGAGTCTTCCTCCAATCTTGATGGCCCATTCTTCTTCATATAGTCCGGCTTCTCGGACCATTTGCTCAGCATGCAGATTGAATAAGTACGGCGAAAGGATACAACCCTGAAGCACACATTTCCTGATTTTTTTTGCAGTATCCCCTTGTTCTGTTTGAACAAGTCCTCTTGATCTATGTACAGTTTCCTCATGAGCACAATTAAGTGTTCTGGAATTCCCATTCTTCGCAATATTACCCATAATTTGTAATGATCCACACAGTCGATCATAGCCAATAAAACACAAGTAAACATCTTTCTGGTATTCTCTGCTTTCAGCCAAGATCCATCTGACATCAGCAATGATATCCCTCGTTCCATGTCCTCTTCTGAATCTGGCTTGAATTTCTGGCAGTTTCCTGTCAATGTACTGCTGCAACCACTTTTGAATGATCTTCAGCAAAATTTTACTTGTGTGTGATATTAATGGTATTGTTTGATAATTTCCACATTCTGTTGGATCACCTTTTCTTTGGAATGGGCACAAATATGGATCCATTTGGTTGGCCAGGTAGCTGTCTTCCAAATTTCTTGGCATAGATGAGTGAACACCTCCAGCACTGCATCCGTTTGTTAAAACATCTCAATTGGTATTCCAGCAATTCCTGGAAATGTGTTTCTCGCCAATGCCTTAAGTGCAGCGTGGACTTCTTCCTTCAGTACCATCAGTTCTTCATCACATGCTACCTCCTGAACTGGTTGAACATCGACCAATTCTTTCTATACAGTGACTCTGTGTATTCCTTCCATCTTCTTTTGATGCTTCCTGGGTCATTCAATATTTTGCCCATTGAATCCTTCAATATGGCTCCTCGAGGCTTAAATTTTTTCTTCGGTTCTTTCAGCTTGAGAAATGCCAAGAGTGTCCTTCCCTTTTGGTTTTCTAACTCCAGGTCTTTGCACATTTCATTATAATACTTTACTTTGTCTTCTGGAGTTGCCCTTTGAAATCTTCTGTTCAGCTCTTATACTTCATCATGTCTTCCTTCTCTGTAGCTACTCGACATTCAAGAGCAAGACTCAGAGTCTCTTCTGGCATCCATTTTGGTCTTTTCTTTTTTTTCTTGTCTTTCTTTATAATGTCCTTGATGTCATTCCACAACTTGTCTGGTCTTCGGTCATTAGCGTTCAGTGCATCAAATCTATTCTTGGGATAGTCTCAAAATTCAGGTTGAATGTATTCAAGGTCATATTTTGGCTCTCCTGGACGTGTTCTAATTTTCTTCAATTTCAACTTGAATTTGCATATGAGCAATTGATGGTCTGTTCCACAGCCAGCCCCTGGCCTTTTTCTAACTTATGATATTGAGCTTTTCCATTGTCTCTCTCCATAGATGTAGTTGATCTGATGTATGTGTATTCTATCTGGCAAGTTAAGTGGTATCTCATTGTGGTTATCATTTGCACCCCCCTACTAGCTAATGAAAGGAGACCTAGTAGTGCAGAGGTTAAGTGCTCAGCTGCTAACCAAAAGGTCAGCAGTTCGAACCCCCCAGCCGCTCTGTGGGAGAAAGATGTGGTAGGCTGTTTCCGTAAAGATTACAGCCTTGGAAACCCAATGGGGCAGTTCTATTCTGTCATATAGGGTCGCTATGATTCGGAATTGACTTGATGGCAGCTGGTTTTTAATAGCTAATGATGTTCAATAGCTTTAGTATAGTGGTTTAAATCGCAGATTTCTGCTTCAAGGTACGGTAAGGTTTTTCCCCTCCCTTGATCCAATCAAAACACAGAATTTGGATTATAAAGCAAAACCATACAGAAAAGCAATAATATTAGGTGGGTATGAAAAAACTAGATATTTTAAAAATGAAAAATATTATTAATCTTTTTAAAGTCAGTAGTAGATAAAATAAACTATTGACTAGATAAAGAATCAAGAAAAAATAATAAAAAATTAGAACAAGTGTCAACAAACTTTTTCTTAATGGTTCAGATAGTAAATATTTTAGACTTTGTGGTCCATATGATCTCTGTTAAAAGGACTCACATTTGCTGTTGTAGTGCAAAAACAGCCATAGGCAATATGTAAACCTGTAGCCAAGCAAGCCAAGTCCGTCACCACTGAGTTGATTCTGACTCGTGATGACCCTATAGGACAAAGTAGAACTGCCCCATAGAGTTTCTAAGAAGCTCCTGGTGGATTCAAACTTTTGGTTAGCAGGCATAGCTCTTAACCACTACACCACGAGGGATTCCATAGGTATGGCTATGTTCCAATAAAACTTTCTTTACAAAAACAGGTGACTGGCCCACAGGCCATAGTTTGCCAACCTATGAATTGGAAAATAGAGCAGAAGAATTTATACAGAAAATGGCACACAAAGAAAGAAATTAAATTAGGAAAGGAGTTAACACATACAGAAATCCTACACTGGTAGACTAGACCATTAGCAATCAGACCAATTCTTTTAATGAGAGGAAATATAAAAGCAGGATAAACTATAAAAAGACACAAGTTCAAAAGCATTGAAGAGCTAACAAAGCAGTGAATAAGTAAGTTATTAGTTAAGATTTGGAGAAGAAGTAAATCCAAAGAGATGAGCTTGGCATTTGAAAGTACGTTTCTCCAAGGGGCATCTGTCAACTTTAGAACAGGCACCTGAAAGCTGGGATGTTAAGCAAAGATTTTGCTAGACTCATAGAGCTAAAAGGAAAAAAAACAAAACAAAACCAAACTCGTTGCCATCAAGTCAATTCTGACACATGGCAACCCCATGTGAGATTTTCCGTAGGATTTTATTGGATGTAATCTTTACAGAAGCAGACCGTCAGGCCTTTTATCCACTGCACCACTAGGTGGGTTCAAACAGCCAACTTTCAGGTGAGTGGACAAGTACAAACTGTTTGCACCACCCAGGGATGAAAAGGACAAAAATTTTTGTCTGGAGTGCAGCAAAAAGAATGCCTTGGCAAACCTCCCACCACCCCTGACCCCAAAGCTCTTGGCTGGGATTCTGAAGGGCTATAAGAAAGAAGTCAGGGTAAACTGGAAATAGACAGACTTAATCCCATTTTTTGGTAATCTAAATCAGTGATTGAATTAACGTGAACAAGGGTTTTTGGAGCCCTGGTGGCACAGTGGTTAAGACTTTGGCTGCTAACCAAAAGGTTGGCAGTTTGAATCCACCAGCCACTCCTTGGAAACCGTGGAAGGCAGTTTTACTCTGTCCTTTTGGGTCACTATGAGTCAGAATCAACTCGATGGCAATGGGTTTGGTATTATGGATTTAGTTGCCTAACTGAGCAAAATAAATCTTCTCTGGATAAAGATAACTTCCTCCTAGTTTAGAATTATCTGTACAATTCTTTTTAATAGTAAATGTCTGACAATCAGTTGGTTGACATCAACAACCAGACATAAGAAGAAACAAAGCAAAATAATAGAAAAGAAAGAGATACAAGAGACAATAGA